GTGAAGGAGGTTCGATGATGAAGAGTGATGAAGAGTCAGAGTGATAATTTATACTCAGGAGAATAAAGTCAGAAGAACAGAGGAGAAATAAAAATCAAAATCACTTCGTTCTGACTTTAGGAGAAAAAAATCAACGTAACTTCACTTCAGAATCACATTGATCTCATTTAATTATTGATTAAAAAGAATGACTATGACGTGAAACCGGAAGAATATTTTTGTTTTAATATTTTGTTTTGATTCGCAACAATCGTTTGTTTTATAACAAACTCTTTTGTCTTTGTTTGAAAACAGAAATGAACGAATTTGTCATTTATTCAAATGTAAAACACGATGTGAACATTTAATTTAACAACAGTCGTTGTTAGTTTTAACATCGTCGTCGTCGTTTCCTGCTGTTTATTATCGTTGGACCGAAGAAGGATTTCTCTAGAACACGTCACGTGACCACAGGGAGCCAGTGTTAAAGTTCTTTGTTTTTAATTTTTCTGTGGTTTTATACATCAGTCTGACAGACCTGCTCCAGGTTCAAGGCTCCAGGTTCAAGGCTCCAGGTTCAAGGCTCCAGGTTCAAGGCTCCAGGTTCAAGGCTCCAGGTTGGCTCCAGGTTCCAGGTTCAAGGCTCCAGGTTCAAGGCTCCAGGTTCAAGGCTCCAGGTTCTGGTCCATTCCTCGGTGAGTGTGTGACGCTGGCCCTCCTTCAGATGAACGTGATTTAACTCACGAATCTGAGGTGAAATTATTAAATTATTATAAGTAAGAAATTTGTTGATTTTTTAAAAAATGGTGTAAAATGATTTTTTTAAAGAAACGTCTTTATTTTTATTTATTTATCTTTATTTATCTTATTTTATTATTTTTATTTTCTGCTTGAAATTGTCTAAAATTCGAGATTTAAATTCTTCCACTGAACAATGGAAACTCCCGCTGCTGTGTGTGTGTGTGTGTGTGTGTGTGTGTGTGTGTGTCGGGCCATTATAATCTGGTCAGGGGGAAATAAATCGGATAAACGCTGAGCCCGTGAGCTCTTTGTGAACCGTTTGTTTGACCACACACACACACACACACACACACACACACACACACACACACACACGCCTTTTTACGGGCTGCGTAGAAAACAAACAGAATAATAAAATAATATAATAATAATAATAATTTTATATATCGAACAAAATTCATATTAAATTTTAATGTTTGAAATGTTTGTTTTTTATTCGTGATATTTTTGTCAAATGTGAGAAAATGTAAAGAAAAGTGTCAGCGGTTTTTGTCCCATAAAATTTTATATTTCAGAAAAAAATAAATAACTGTCATATGTATAGAAAATAAAAAAATAATAAAGAATTTTAAAAATCAGACGTTCCACTCTTCCTTCAGTGGAATGTTCTGGTCAGAGCGTCACTGAAACACCTTGACCGGCTGTGGGCTTGGGCTGCCATCTACTGTCTGTTTGAAGAACTACAGGTTGATATTTCCAGGCCCGTCAGGCTGAGATCATGAGATATAATCGTTGAATGTAATTCAAGCGTCAAATTTAAATAAAATGTTTGTATTAATCAGAAAACAACTTAATATAATAATTTAGTTTATTTATTACACTGTCACTAACACTGTCAACATATATGTTTATCACGAAACGTATTCTGTTCTAAAACACGGCTGTGTGTGGTGTGGAAAACGGGATGTGTTTTAATTTACTTTTTTCTTGACTTCGTGGCGCTTTGGCCCAGAGGCAATGTCTCTGTCATTGGTGTGGAACCCCAGGGTTCACCTCCTGGACAAGTTCGAATCCCGGTTAGGGCGGTTAATACCTTCCAGTGGACTCACCACCTGCAGGAAGGTTTGGTACGGTGCAATGTGATTTGGGTGGCGACTGCTGCCCCCGCGACCCGGTAACGGATAAGCGGATGAAAATGGACGAAAATGGATGGATGGATGGATGGATGGATGGATGGATGGATTTCTTGAGTTTTCATCACGAACTGAGCAAAACTCGGAGAAACGCAGTGTTTCTTTGCTCCCGCTAGAGGTCGCGTTGTCGAGTTTTTGGCTGTGAAACCTACGGTTCCTGCCGGGCGAAGAATAGAAAGGGTTTCCGGTTTCCGGTTAGCGGTTAGCTCTTAGCTCCTAGTGCCGAGCATAACGACCTTCTTTTTATTTAAGAACCGAATCCACAAACAAACACTTGGCTTTGGATTAATCCACGTTCTTTAAGGTAAATATTTCATCATTTAAACCGAGTGTTGAAAACACAGTGTGAAGATATTATTTGGAAAGTAATTTTAAAACTATTTCCTGCTCTTTCTGGATCCACTCCAGTTATTGGACTCGGTTTAAAACCACTCTAACGTTTATATTTAAAGGTACATTTCTGCCATTTTTACAGGAAGTTCCGAATAATTATCTTTTACAGTTGAAAACAATTAGCATGTTCTTTCTCCCTGCTGTCCTGTAGGCGGAGCTAAAACACCATTTAGTCAGACAGTAGATTTAATCACTCTGTGTCTCCGGGAGATGGCAGTGTCTAAGAGGCTGCTGAAGGCGGTGGTGATGCTGGAGCTGCTGGGGGTCCTGGGGGCCTACGGCCTCTTTCAGCAGATGGACAAGAGCCAAGGTTTGTCCCGGAGCCTCTGATTTCATGTCATAGTATAGTTTGAGTTTCTCCACTTACACTGGTATTTCACTGCATTTTTAGATATTTTAAATTGTTAATTCTTTCAGATGTTTTAGGGGAAAAGTCGTGTCGTAGTTTGTAGTATTGGTCAGTGTTAGAGATTTTTTTAATTTGAACACAAATTGTACATTTTGTAAGTGAACTGCTCGTCATTGTCACACACCACTGCACCACTGCACACAACCAAATGTGACCTGTGTGTAACCCATCATCACAGCCAGCAGGGGGCAGCAGTGTGTGGGGACGGTGCCTTGCTCAGAGCACCTCAGTGATTGCTTTAACCACTGCTCCATCGTATCGTTGTCTTGTATGTCTACAATAAGAACCTTTTTTATTTTTAAAGGGAAAAAATAGATTGATTTTATTAATTCATTTATTTTTTTATTGTCCACCCAGAGTGGAAAACATAACAAACCAGGTAAAAAACAAAACCCCACCCCAGTGGTCCACCCCAGTGGTCCACCCCAGTGGTCCACCCCAGTGGTCCACCCCAGTGGTCCACCCCAGTGGTCCACCCCAGTGGTCCACCCCAGTGGTCCACCCCACCACTGATGAGTCTGAAAAGCCTTTTCAATCATTTGTTTATTACGTTGAGAACAAACAGTGAATTTAGAACATCTGTTTCTCCACAGACTTCAGGAGCTCCATGAAGAGGAGGTGTCCGTCCGTCTTAGAAGGTGTCGTCGTACTGTAGTCCTGTTGAACAACTCCAGTCTGATGACTCGTCAAACATGATCAGCTGACGCTTCTGTCTCCTCAGTTTACTATCAGTCCAACGAGTGGGCGGGACAACACGGCGTCAGAGAGCGAGACCAGGAGGCGTGGTCGTCCAAACAGCACTGACAGAAGACACGTCTTCTGCTACTTCCTCTTCCCCATCATCCTGGCTCCGCCCACCGCCCGCCTCCTGTTGAAGGCCGTCTTCTTCCTGCGCAGCGTCTTGACGTCTCGGCCGTGGATCCAGTCGTCACGCTGCGCCTCCCACTTGAGCTGCTTCACACCTGCAGAGGTCAGAGGTCAGTGTCAGAGGTCAGAGACAGAGGTCAGTGACAGAGGTCAGAGGACCAGATGTTTTCAGTCCCACCTGCTCGGTCCGTGTTCGCCATCGCGTTCAGTCCGATGTTGTCGAACTTGGAGCCGGCGTTTTCATCCAGGAGGGAACCGAACTGTGAAGTCAGAGGAAGAACGGATCAGTACCGTGTTTGTTCCTGCAGAACTCACCCAGTCCTGGTGACGTCACACACTCACCTCTTCTGCAGAAGCAAACACGGCTGCCTCCTTCCTTCCTCTCTTCTTCTTCTTCCCTGGTTTGGAGCCTGAAGGAAAACAGCCAATCAGAAGACTTGATTTCTTTTAACGGACCAATCTGTCTTTAAATTATATTTCCCTCTGACCTAAAGCTCCAGAAAAGTCCAGCTCCTCCTCCTCTGACCTCCTCTTCTTCCTGATTTTCACAGTTTCCATCACAGCGTCTGGAAAAAAAAGAGGAAAAAAAGTTTTTTGTTAAAAAAACATTATTGTATGAAAAACAAAGGAAACTTTTACAAAATAAAAATGTCTAAATTGATGAAAATGAACAAAAATGACTCGAGTTTAAAAAAAGCATAAAAAAACTTGATGTGAAATACTGTGAATATTTGTTGACAAAAATGTTGAAGTTCTTCATCACCGTTGACGTTGGACTCGTCCTCGTCTTCTTCCAGCTCCGCAGCTGAAAACAGGAAGTCCTTAGTTTAAGTCAACAGTTAGCTGGGGCTAATGTTGCCGTTAGCTAACCCTTAACTTCAGTACCTTCATCAGCGTCTGGATCCATGAACATTCCTCCGTCCTCCTCCAGCTCGTCTCCAAAGTCCTCGTCCTCCATGCTGCCCAGAGACACTTCCTCGTCGTCCAGGTCGTCCACGTCCGAGTCGTCCACGTCCGAGTCCTCCTCGCCTTTTTTACCTTTTTTACTCTTCACGTTACTGAGGCAGAGACAACAGAGACAGAGTCAGAGACGGAGGACAAAGACAGAGGGCCTGTCAGGAGGAGAACCAAAATCACAGAAGGTCAAAGGTCACCCAGCAAAGTCCAGGTCCTGGTCTCCCAGGTCAGTGAAGTAGGAGTCTCCCTCACAGGAGTCTGTCGACACAAACGCTTCGGTTACTTGATGAAAACTCAGGTCACGCTCACAGACTCCTCTCCACCCTCTGTCTCACCCAGTATCTTCTCAAACTCCTCGTCGTCCACGTCCTCCACACTCTCGTTGTCCCCCACTCTGTCCCTCAGCCCAAGCTTCTGCTTCTCCTGCTGACGTTTCTTGAAGAAGCTGTGAAGAAACATCACAAAACCATTAGAACCGTCCACCTGCAGACCTCCACCCGCAGACCTCCACCCCGTCTCCCACCCCGTCCCCCACTCACCGGTGGAAGAAGATCTCCTCCACAGGAATCTGACTTTCGTCTTTGGACAGAAACTCTTCACAGTTCACTGAAGAGACAAAACTCAGTCACACCTTCATGTCATACCCTCTACATCCACTGGGTGGCACTCTGACAGCACTCATAGTCAAACTACTTTGGATGTTGATGTTTCTAAGCTAACTGTTAGCTCGTTAGGCTAACAGAATCAGTGACCGGTCAGTTCTGGTGACCTCTGACCTGGGAGAGACTTGAAGGAAAGTTTCTGCTTCGGTCGCATCACGGCCGAGTCGGTGTTTTCTGACAGAGAAAAAAGATCCTTGTTAAAAAGAGACAATGTACTACTGTGTACTACTGTGTACTACTGTGTACTACAGTAGTACTACTGTGTTCATCTCAGATCAAATCAACGGTCCTTACGTTGACCTTTGGCCTTTTTAGGATTCCTGAAGACAAATCGATCCAGGAAACGAATGAGAGTGAAATCCTGCAGAGGGTCACCGGAGTACAGGATGGTGCCCCCCTGTGGTGGGAAAATAAGAATCCAGGTTATTCCAGGGCTGCAGCAGCAGGAGGAGGAGGAGGAGGAGAAGAAGAAGTTTATTTCACCTGCAGCAGAGTTTTAGCGAAGAGCGACACGGACGGATGGAAGTGCTGAGTCAGCTGAGGACAGAGGTCAACAAGAAGGTCATCGAACGCATCACGACGTCACAACAAACGACTGTCACTACAGTTCAACTATGAACAAACTTCCAGAACACAGTTCAGTGATGCTGCGTCATTTATATGTGTGTGTGTGACATATACACTGATGACCTCTCACCCTCTGCAGCTCCCACAATCCCGAGTGGTCGGCGCCGCAGAACAGTGGGTTTCTGTGGAGGGGGTCATAGACCTTTGACCTCTTCACACCTGACCACAGAAGAAGAAGTAGTTATGGAAATGAACAGAAGTGTTCCTCTGGAGAAAACACACACACAAACACACACACACACACACCTTCCATGTTTTGGTGATGAACCCAGGATGCTGCAGGTTTGACCTTCGACCTCTGTGGGTTTCCTTCATCCTGCAGTTTGTCAGCATCAACAAAGTGCTCCTCTTCGTCCTCCTCTTCATCATTGAACTTCTTTCCAGCAGCAGCTTTATGAACCTCCTGCTCCTCCTCCTCCTCCTCCTCCTCCTCCTCCTCCTCCTCCTCCTCCTCCTCCTCCTCCTCCTCCTCCTCCTCCTCCTCCTCCTCCTCCTCCTCCTCCTCCTCCTCCTCCTCCTCCTCCTCCTC